TTTCATCCATGTTTATAACTCTCTTTAACAGTCATGTAATTAAAAACCAAATGCTCATCATTGTGTTGGAAGGTACCCTAAGACACAAACAAACACACAAAAACAACTGTTTTTGGGTTTTTCAAAACAATTTTTCAAATTTTTATGAGATTTTCGGATTTTTATGGGGGTGGGGATGGGTTGCGGGGAAGGTAGGGTAGGTTCTGCAATTTTCAGTTTTTTTTTTTTTTTTTTTTTGAGAAGATTCAGGGTTTTTAAAAAAATTATTATTTTTGTCATGTGGCAGCCACATCAGTACAAATGTGGCAGCCACGTCAGCATTTAACAAACCAATAGATGGAAAATCTAACGGATGTATTATTTTGAAATAAAATAGTACATGAGGTATGAAAGTGAAATGTTTTAAAGATGTTGTATGGAGTTGTAATAGAACTCAAACTTGAGGGGTTACTATGTAATTTACCCTTTTTTTTTCTTAAAACCTGTACTCTCTGGAATCTTCTTATCTTTGTTGGCTCCGTCCAATCCCCTCATCTCCTTATCTTCCTCTTCGTCTCTCTATCACTCTTGCTCCCTGAAGCTACTTTCTCTCCCCTTCTCTATCCATTTCTCTCATTTCCCAAAGCAATGAGATGATATAGATTGTGATTCATGTGTCAGCTTGATTTCAAAGAAACCCAAACTCTCCCTCAATGCTTTAATTCTCCGTCTTAAATTCCATAACAAAATAACCATCTCGGAATTTTCTAAGAAAAAGATGAAATTATCTGATTGGGGATTGTTGTTGTTGTTATCTTTTGCTTTTTTTTTTCTTTTGAATTTTGGTGGTTAGATTTTGAGATCTACATAGTGATGTGGTCGCGTTAGCTGTGGGCTGTAGTTGATGGCGCCGCAGAAGAAAGAAGGCGAAGCCCAGGGAAAATAAAAGCTCTGGTTTAATCTTGTTTCCTAGTCCCGCTTAATACCAAGTGAAAGCTTGGGACTCATTAGCGAGGTTTAGTGAAGTAGGGAACGCCTCATAGTCGAGGTGAGTCTCACTTACTGTAGTCCAGCACCATTCCAAATGCAGGATTATAGTCATACTTAAGTTAGTCCAAGCCAGTCCCACTTAAAGAGATGCAACAAACGCACCCTTAATGTCTAAATAAACATTAAATTTAGTAAGAATCTAATGAAACAATGAGATTAGTAAGAATCAACCGGCAAATCAATGGAGTATCATATATTAATTGTTTGTGTTAGATTATAGGAAAACTCTCTAATTCCAACGTATCTATCAGACCAAATTCGACCATTGAACTCCAAAAACATAACTGAGTGCTCGTCTTCTTTTTTTTTTAGTGGGAAGAATCACTCTGATAGGAGTATCTGTAGTGGCATCAATAACGAGGAAAGAGAGGCGGAAGGCGCCCCAATAAAGAAGGTGAAACCTTCCAAACAATGAAAAAATCCGTCATTGGGGATGACTTTGAAGCTTATCGGGCCTCTCTTTGTAAGCTAGCTCCATTTGATCGATTGCTTCTGTTCGGAATAGATTAGTTGGGAATTGGGTGCTCTGGCCTAGCTACTAAAGCAATTGATCGTTATTGTATGTATTATACGAATGTAACTTCTCATAGTAATTAGGGTAGGATTCTTACCTAAATAAGTAAATAGGGCTTTATGAAATCCTATATATATTGTAATATTTTCACATATCAACACAAGGAGTAAAATTTCTTTGTGGTATCAGAGTAGGTTGTCCCACGTGTGAAGCCTAATGGCTACATGTACTCCACGTCACCCAATTTGTGTTGTCCATGTGCTAGGCTTGAAAATTCGTCACATATGAGGGGGTTTGTTGAGAGTATGAATCCCACAACGAAGAAAGAAGGAACCATTTTCCTTTCGCTTATGCTTGCAAATAGCAACCAACCCTTTTTGATCTAGTGTTGAATCCGAATACAGATCTCTTGCTCATGCTTGTGCGGAGACTACTTGGTTGTGCTTTCTTCTTCGAGAGCTTGGTGTTTGTTTGTCTTTTCATGTGTTTGCTTTATTGTGACAATCTTAGTGCCATTTATCTTGCTGCTAATCTTGTTCATCATGCTCGCACATGTCATATTGAACTCGATTATCATTTTGTTAGTGAAAAAGTGGCTCCTGGGAGTCATCGGAATTGGTATATTCGTCTATGGATCAACCAATTGTTCTCCTCACCATAGCACTCCATCAACCCCATCATAGTCTTCTTTGCTCTAAACTCGTTCGATAGATTAAAGGAAATTACTCCGTCGTTATTGTATGTATCATAGGAATGTAATTTTCCATATAATTAGTGTATGATTCCTACCTAAATAAAGCTTTATGTAACCCCAACTAGAATTTTATGTAACCCTATATATATTGTGATATTTCCACACATCAATACAACAAGTCATATTTCTACATTTTCCCAACACATTATTAATGGGATAGCAATAACCTATATAGATAGAGTAAGGCTTTCATATCAAGCATTTTGTCACTTTATTTTAATTAGGATTTACTTATGTAATGACACTAATCTAATTTGGCTAGAAAGTGCATTAATCTAATTTAGGATTTCTAAATTCCATTGGGCCCAAACTTGGCCCAACGAGCCCTACTTCATGTATTGCTAAAGTTGAAGCAATATGCAGTTTAAATGTTTATAAATAATATTTAAATTAGAGAAATGTTAATGAGTCTTTCAAAGTGAGACTTTGTATGGACTATCCGTCACTTCACTTTACATTTTTGGCACAATTTTCAGGCCAATATTATAAAATATTATGCTAAAAATACGTGACGATAGAGAATCTGTGAAAACCCTCACTTTGGAAAGAATCTCTTTAGCATTTTCTCTTTAAATTATAGTAATATACAAAAAAGGTTATACAAATATAGATACAAGCAACAAACGAATGCTTTAACAAACTAGCTAACCCGCATTTGCGACAGCAGTTGTTAGAAAACCCATATAAAGACCAAAAATGTTATTTTATTTTGGAAATGTCAATTAATTAAACTTGGAAACGAACTCAATTTTGGGTTGAGTTCACACAAGTATTTGAGAAAATTGGAAGAAACTACCTTTTGGCGCACGCTATTTTGGAAATGCTTTAACAAACGACCTTTTGGTGAACGTTATTTACACAAGTATTTGAGAAAATTGGAAGAAAAAGGAAAACAAACCATTGAGGACAAAAAGGTCATTGTCTGCATTGCCATAATTAGATTGAGGTAAGCATATCCCCAAATGAGGATTGAAATGAACGAGGTCCACGAGGGACAGCAAAGGCAGTTGGACGATTCTACCCTCAGATGATAGACCCTTCCAAAACACCCTCTGTCAAACCATGATGTTTCACGTTAAGCCACTCAATAACCCATGAGGGCTCGGAGCTGGCTGGCCCCAAGAACTCCCCCTCTCCACACCCATTATTTCAAGCTCACACCCTTAAATTTGGCAGAAAAACAACCTGCTTTTTTACTTATGATGCTAGCTTGGCCTGTAATTATGATTGTAATAACGTAAAATAAAACACCATCGATGGTGCCAAACCGCGCAAGTTATGTATCAAGGGCAAAATGGTCATTTTGTTGTACTTATAGGACACAAAGGCCTACTAAAGGGATACCCTTCTTTAGTCTTTTTGTTTTCTTTCGTCTTTCCGTTGGAACAACTTGTTTTAGCTGATAGGGATTCACATTTGGGGCAATGGGTTTGTCACCAAAGAATGCTCTAGGCACATTAACACTCATATTTAATCATATAATTGTTTTCGTTTTATTTATTTGTTCCGATGATAAAAAATAAAGATGAATATATGAAAATCATTTCCCTTTAATTAATATATTTGAAAAAGCAGGTGTGAGTTTGATTAGTTAAGCAGAGTAATGTGTCTATCTTCTTGCATCTGAGTTCGATTCTTGCATAACGTATATTACAGTAGGTAAACTACCACTATTATATGTAAATATAAATAGACATGAGTTAAATCAGATAATCATGATAGCGTGTCCGTCTCATTGTATCCATATTTATTGTTGTAACAAGGATGCAAATCTTTGACAAGACCTAAAAGATATGAGATAGATTTCTGGACCAAAATGACAAAATGCAAGTTGAATTTAGGGCAACAAAACCGCCAATTCTTGATCTTGAAGGGTGGGAAGGGAAACCAGAATCCATAATGGCTGAAATTGATTATTGCCAACAGTTCCCAACACATGAGAATTATGAAATGAAAGGGGAATAAAAAGAGGGACAAAAATAGTAGTTAGTAGAGAAATAAGAAGAAATAAGTAGAAGAAGAAGAAGAAATAATTGCAGAAGTTGTAATTGATGATGGAGGAGATAAGAGAAGGGAAGGGAAAGCCAATCCAAACCATCATTGCGAATCTTGGGACGGCCCTAGCTCCGCCATCATTTACAAACCCTAGCTACCCATAATTGTCCCTCTCTTCTTCTTCTTCCATGTCCATAATGTCATTTTTATGACCACAATACCCCTATGCCTTTTATTTTGTTTTTCTTTTTTCCAAGTTAAAAAAAAAAAAATTATTTATGTCTTGTGCTGCAAAACCCGAAAAACCATCATCATTCACATGACGCCATATTCATCATCATCATAGAAAACCATAAACTCTAAAATCTTTTAGGCTCATAACCGGCCGCCTTCCATGCTTACACATGCATGATTGTTGTGTCAGATAGAGAGGGCATGTCCCCTTCCCTTTCTCTCTCCCTCTCTCTCTCTCTCTGTTTCTCTCTCATATGGTTGCATCGTTTCTCTCTCTAGGAAGACTGGTAGTAGTAGTGGCATTGGCTCTATAAATTAAGGCTCTCTTTGTTCCTTTTGTCCCTCACACCAAACTCAGCCCTTTATTCTCTCACTGCTACATCTTGTTACAAAACCAGAAGATTTGCTTCCTCGGCCCCGAAGCTCTTACCAACCTAACCTTCTAAAGGTCACTTCTTTACTCATTTTACTTAAACAAATATATACATATATATTGTAATTCACATTGTTTTTCGTTTAGTGTTCTTTGTGTGTTCTACACCTCATTTTGTGGAGGGAATGTTTGCCTTTAGAAACGTTTCACAATTTTGGATTATCCAACACTTTTTGTTCCAGATGGTTTCTCTCTCTGTCTCTCTCTCTCTCTCTCTAGAACTTATCACTTTTGTTCTTAAAAACTTTTGATCATTCATACCAACCTCTTGAATGTGGAAAAGGGTAAGATTTGTATTTTTGAATGCTCTTGTAATCAAACCAAGAAGTTTTAAGTTTTTGGCAGTTTGAATACGTGATTTTGATCCTTTTCTTTCATCAGTGGTAAGCCGAAAGAAACCATTTTTTTGTTTTTCATTGAGTGCAGTTTTGGACTACTTATGATTCCATCTCTCTTTTTCTTTCCTCGCAAAACAACCCACCTATATATATATATATAGATATATCTATATGTCTGTATATCTAAACAATCTAACCATAGTGCTCCAAAATTTGATAAGTTGCTCTGCTTTCTCCAGTTGTCATCACCTTCTTTTTGTAAAACTGTCATAAGTGCTTCCAATAAAAGCACTGCACAAACCAAGTCATTTCCAACCAAATAATTCTCACACATCCAATTCTGTTTCTAGGTAACCTTTCTTTGATCCAATTTATTTCTCATTAAATCCATAGGGCATTTTTCCTTATTTTAATTTAATTTTATTTTTTGTGTTCATTTTTGTGCATTTTTAATAGTATAATGTTACTGTCTTCATGTGTAACACATTTAAAATGTTTTCTGCCAATAAATAATATTATCTGAGATACCCTTTTTGTATTTCTTGGATTTGGTTTCAGTGCAACACAAGAATTTCAGACAAATTTCACAGCAATGGAAAGATTGAACTCAAAGCTGTACTTGCAGAACTGCTACATAATGAAAGAGAATGAGAGGCTGAAGAAGAAGGCACAGCTGCTGAACCAGGAGAATCAAGCCTTGCTTTCTGAGCTTCAGCAGAAGCTGTCCAAAAGTACTTCTTCAAAAGCCAAAGCCAATGCAGCAGCTGGAAATACACTTCCTGACCTCAACCTCAGCTCTTCCTCCACCCCAAATGCTAATGGTTCCACCAACTGATGATCTGATAAAATTTGTTAAAATTAAGTAAAGATGTGATGACCCCACTAGGAGGAAGAGGAGGAGGATTTAACTTTTGTTTTTGTTTAATATCTTTAGCAACAGTGGTAGTTCCAGTTTTAGATACAAAATAGGACAAGATGAAGTTGTAGTGTTTATCTTTTGTACCACCAAGGATGCCTCTGCTTCTTCTACTTCCATATCTTCTATCAGTAATTTTTCTTTTTTGGGGTGGTTATTAAAAATTTCTGTACTACAAGGATGTATCAAGCTATCTAGCAATCAATATAAATATTATTTTATCTCTCTTGGTTGCACTTGGTGCGATGGCAAGTGTTTTCGTCCATGAGCGGTAGGTCTCGAGTTCGAGACTTGGGAGCAGCCTCTCCATAAATGGGGGTAAGGCTAACCGATATTCACCTCTCCCAGACCCTGCGTAAAGCGGGAGCCTTGTGCACTGGGTACGACATTCTCTCTCTCTCAATATCCAAATTGGAACTAGTGTTCTTGCACCAATTCATACAAGCATATTTATTAAAGAAGAGTAACTTGCAAGAAACAGTATGTTAGGGGAGCGGTCAACTTGTTTCGTAAGTTATTTTCCTATTCATTATATCAATACAATCTAGTCCCATAATCCAATTTAGTAAAGAAAAATATGATCTCTCCCTTTGTCAATATCAAATTTTCAGTTTTATTTTCCATCGAAAAGAAAAATGAAAATCAAATTTGTAGTCCCAAGTTTTCCATTTCTATCTAGTAACAGAGCAAGCCTCTGTTCTGCATATCACTTTAGTATTCACTCACTCTTTTAAAGAAGCACCTGTAAATGGTAGACATAGATTTGGTAAATAGTAAATTCCACAACAAGTTGTGCGATATGGTAAATCACATGGCAAAGTAATCCAAATGTGTACAAAACCAAAATCTTAACCGGCGAACTGGTTTTGACCAGAGATAATATTTTAGACAGCCAAAAAATAGAGAAAATTTGTTGTGTCAACGGAGATGTATTAACTTTTGTTTGCATCACGTAATGGTAACATAATGCGTAAAGAGATGTATTTTGACTGAAAGATAGATTCTCTGTAGAGAAAGTAGGAAATAAAGCACATGTAACTTACGTAACGATACAACTTAAATCTCACACCACGTACTGAGAAACAACCAAAACTGAAAAATAACTTGCATAAACGGTGAACGGTAAGGTGATAGTTTTCAAAACCAATCATGTGTTATTAATATTATATGTGAAAGATAAAACATGTGGCGACACATGATAGATTTGAAGCTTTGCCATATTCCCGTTCCTATTTCATGTAAGTCTCTCTATTAAAATGAATACATTATGTTTGTTTCATAAATGATTCGTATTAAAAAAGGAATGTAATCTTTTAGTACAATAGATGGGCAAAAATCCAGCAAAAAAACTAAGGGTGTATTGTATATGAAGTTTAACGGACTTTACTTGATGCTCAAATTCAAGTGTATTCAATATAAACTTTTTAAGGTTCAATAAAAAAATTATAGAAACTTGTTTGCAAACCCATCTCTCTTGCATTCTCTAGAAGACCTTGCCACTCCTGCTTTCTCTCCTGCACATAACCCCTCTCGCCACTGACTCCTTCCTTTGGTTGGAGTCGGTTGCAAACCCCGTTTATTTCTTGCTTTTTTCTCTTCTTCTTCTCCTTTCTAAAAGCTCAACCATGTTTTCTCTGCTTTTTTGGTCATATCTCCAGCATTGTCTGCCGATTCCCCGGTGTCTATCACCGTATTTTGTCTTAAGAAAATTGGGTCTCTGTTCTGCAATCCTCTTTCAAAACACCCATCCTCCATCATCTTCTCCATTAGGTCCTCCTTCACACATCTCATTCTTCCTACAACCTCTTCTCAAAGCTAGAAATGACACACCTGTATTGAATGCCAGATCTCAACCCATCGCCACTCCGACCCAACCGACATGCTGGAAAAAGGGGCCAAGCGTGCTAAGGTTTTGCTCAAAGCGAGGGTGTTTTAGATGCCCCTTGGCTCGATCCCCTTCCTTTTGTTTTTTGTTCTCCTTACAGGGGCATGTGATGGTGGGTCATATCTGGTGGCTCTTCTCCAATGTGGTTGTTTTAGTGGCGAAATTTGGTTGGGAATAGTTGCTTGTTGCGTGCTGGTAAATTTTGTGTTGCGATACCATTCATCAAATTCAATGCAGAGTTGGTTTTCTTAGGGCACTACCCTTGTGACTACTGACGAGGTGGTAACGGCGGTGGCGGCAGCTGCATTTTGCCTTTGCGGGATACAGATTAGAATTTTTTTTTTTTTTATTGTTTTATCTTTTGTTGAATGGGTCTTTGTCTACCCCAATTTTTGTTTGATGTAACTTGTAATGGGCTCTTTCTCGTTCAATAAAATCTTATGCTTTATCGACCAACAAAAAAAATTTATAGACTTTGGAGTCAACAAAAGTCTTCATGCGTTGAATTATAACTTTTTATTGATTTTTAAAAGCATATAAAAATCTTATGGTATTTAACTATGACTTTTGTGAGTCCAGAAAAAGTTAGATGTATTCATAATTTCATTTATTTTAAAGGGTTTAAAAAGTTACGAATTTTGATGGAGTTGGAGTGCTCGTATAGTAAATTTTTTGTCATAACAAATCCAATCTCCCCCTCCCTAAGATTTTAATGGATCCTTCATTAAAAAAAAAAGATAGATTTTATTTTTCTCAATTATCTAATTATATATTCTACCATCCATCATAATGCAATGACTATCATTATCACCACTCTCACCATGATGTTTCCACCACCACCTTACCATGACCATCTCATCTACCCCTCCCCCACCACTGGAGTTGTCGCTGTCACCATCGCCTCCCCACCGTTATTGCCATGACCATCATCGCCACCCTTAATCGCTATGACCATCACCAACACCATCATCACCACCCCATCATCAATGCCCCCATCCTTACTCCTCCACCACCCCAACCCTATAATCACCACCCCTACTACTATCGCCGCCACCAAAGACGTCAACTATGCTACCATCATTTTGCCGACATTCACCACGTGACACTTCCACCACTATCATTGCCACAACCACCTTATAAGACCAGTTTGTCACGGTCATGGTCACCATTTCAAAAATGAAAACTTAATAATAATATCTTATTAATCACTTAGTCATTAAAATGTCACAGCCAGTCCTGGAGATGTACGTTAATTATGTTATCGACGGTGTGAAATTACCTAAATATCCTAGGATGTTGAGAATTATTATAGGATGTTGTGGTTTAAACTTAAATTTTGGACCAATTAATTATATTCCTCTTTTATTGGATCCAATTATAACTAAGTGTCCTCTTTATTGTGATTGTTGTACATTTTGGGACCACACACACATCCCTACCCTCTCTCTTTTCTCTTTCGTACTCTCTTTCTCTCTCTCGGTTTTACTCTCACTTTCGCCTTGTTATATGTACGAACAAGGGCAAGAACACCCCAAACCTCACAGATCAAACAAAAAAATGGCACCATTGTGTTCGTGAGGACCCTACAAGTTCAAATGTATCAATTTCAGGTAAGGAAACCTTCGATTTCACGTGGAAACCTTAACCTCGATTTTGGTCACTATTCATGTGGACGTAAATATGTTGGTTTCAGGGAATTTCAAGCTCATAGAGAGCTTTATGAGGTCCTAAGGAGGCTCGGGGTGGTTCGTTGGATAAATTTGGACGTCGGGATAGCTAGTTTCGAAGTTGACCGGATTATCAAGCTTCCTCAGATAAATTCTAGAGGGTTTCAAGGCTTAAAAATAGTATAACGTGATTCTACATGTTGTTAGTTTTCCAATGGTTCAAATTTCATGAAAATGGTGCAAAAATGAAGAAGTTAGGACGATTTTAATATTTTTCCGGAAACCGTTGAAGTCACCGGCGACCGGCGACTCGTTGAAGAAGACATGGGAATCTTCCGTCAGTTTTGACGGAATATGCTAACGCCGTCTGTTAGTTTGGACGGTTACCGTTGGGTTTTAACGGAATATTCCTAACGCCGTTCTTGTTCCGTCACATGTGCCTAGCACATGGCCGCGCGTGGGGGGTGCGTTTTGCCGTGCCCTTGCCAGCACGTGGCGGTGCATGGGAGCTCAAAAAATTTATCCAAAAATATGGGGATGATCCTGAGGTTGTGTAGGTCACTATGGTATATTCATATACTCATTTTGAGCAATGTATGAGAAGTTATTAGCTAATTTTGTCTATGTGCTTTAAAATAACGTTTTTATAGTTAATTCGCATATAGGTGAGACTTATCCCAAGGACGAGCATATCCACGGGCGACTTGGGGGTTACGATCCGTCGACATACCAGTGAGTGGGCTTTTGTTTTCAGTATATATTTATATTTGATATATTTCCCAAAAATGCATTTTTAAGGGAAGTATGCTTTGAAATAATATGCCAAATGCTTTTATATTCTGAATACGCATTTCATGGTTATATATATATATATATATATATATATATATATATATATATATATATAAATGTGGTGCTGTGGAGGCACATGTAAGTTCAGGTAAGTTATGTTTGGCTATGTGAATCATCGATGATGTGGTATGTGATGGATTGATGTTGAGCTCATAAAACTGCACCTAGGGTGAGCCAAAGATATGAAGTATAGGCCTGTTTATTTATGTCACCTCCCGCACTATATGCTCATATTGGATCCAACTTAAGTGCACAGTCTTGTCGTACAGACCTTAATTATGGTTCCGACTCGTAGGTGACTAGCGATTTATCGCCCGACTATTATGAGAGAGTAAAATTGAGCATAACTATATTACACCCAATCTTGTCGTACAGACCTTTTTAGTGGTTCCGACTTATGTGCAGTATATTGCCGTATAGGTCATTGTAGTGACTCCGGCTAGATTGACTTAGAGCTTGAATTCAGCCGTACAGACTACCACAGGGGTTCCGGCTAACATATCATATTTCTATGAATTTATTCTTACCTAAATTGCTTATTTATGTTATATCTTGGCATGACATACATTTGAATATAATTTATGTGAAACATGAATTGAATTGATATGATTTCATATATATATAAATATTATGTATATGCTTATATTCTGATTCTGGGAAAAATTATACATGTTTTACAGAGAGGGATTAGATATGTTGATAAAGAAAATGATTTTGTAAAACATTTGTTTTTGCCCACTCACGTTTTCTGTTTTGCGCCCCTCTAGGTTTTAAGTAAGCTTGCTGTTGGTGGCTTGAGGACGTCGGCGGTTATGACCT